CACTACCAGAGGTCCTGACTGCTTTTTCTGCTGGCTTCCCACAAGCCACTGGTCCTCTCATCCTCTCACACAGGGACTATGAATACATTAATCTCGCCCTGTGCTGCCAGGCTGCCTGCACATTTGTATCAACCTTTCATGTTTTCTGCCGTGTTCCTCTTATTCCACAGAAGAAGCTCAACACATCCTCAAAGCTGCTTCACTATTCTTCAGTGTTCATTACATCCTCAGTTTCTCTGTCCCTGTGCTGTTTTGTCTTTTCTGGAAGTGAGAATGAAATTCAGCAAGAATTCAAGCTAAATTTTTCCTAACAGAAACTGTATATTTACACAACCTCTTTAGTACCTAGTAAGAGACTGCTAAATGGGCTTCATTAGTGAGAACAGATTATAAATAAAGGAAAATGCAATACAGAATTCTGTTAAAGGAAATTTGGTGCTAGAATACTGAAATTGTTTTGTCTTCTTTCCTGTGTTTTCAATAAATATTTATAAAGATACCACGTTGTTTGTTGCTCTCAGAGAAAGCAAGGAGAGATTTCTGCAGTTAGAACTCCGACTTGTGTTGAAATATTTATTGTTACAAGCCATCAAAGTCATGCCTGATCTTCTTAACATATTTAGCCCTTGGAACCAACACTGCATTTCATAAATGAAATGCTCTCCTTTGTGTTAAGATACACGCTACCTTCCAGTGCTTTCTGAAGTAGGACAGTCTTTTTATTAAGCCAAATATGATGAGTTAAAATATGATACTTACGTAGTATAGGTAGTATAAGAATGCATATAAGAAAACTAAAGCCAGTGGAAGCCAAAAAAAGTCCTGCTTTGAGTCATACCTTAAGGATTAAGGACTCCTTAAGTACACAATCCAGCACTCTCTTAGGTCTGATAAGGCATAATACCTCCTCAAGTTAAGAAAAGCATTCAAAAACTAGCAAAACAGTGTGCTATTTTCTCCTAGTCTGGTTTCCTTGCATTTGTCCCTGGTCTCCCACAACCTCCATCCTTGTTCACAGGCAGGTAGTTGAAGGAGGGGGATGAGCCTTCTCCTTGTCTGCTGTGTGTCCCTGTCAGCTGTCAGCGGCAGCCACATATGGGCTGGTTCCAGGTCACATAAACATGCCCAGAGTACATTTCCCAGTTGCCCTTCAGGTCTCTGTTCCCAGCATCTCCATGCCTAGAGTCACACGCTGGATTGCTTTTAGCTCATGAAAGAAGAGTAAATATTGGCCAGCAGGTCAGCCAGAGAGAAATGATTTGTCAAAACCAAACAGCTCCAGCCATTCTCCTCATCTTCATGCTTGTAAACGGCTTTTTAAAAAAATAGGAACTACAACTACATGTTCTCCAAGGTCACCTGCAAAGCATGTTCTAACCTTGGATCTCATACATACCCTGCCTTTCCATTTCTGTGGTCTAACTTGTTAATTACTGATGCTTCGTGTATTTGTTTTTAGCAAGACTCATCTTAAGAACTGCTTGAGAACAAGCGGTCCCAGAAGTCAAATTCTTTGTGGCTACAGTCCAGCAAAAACAGGTACCACACGAGAAAATGATTTTTGCTTCCTTTCTCAAGCGAAGATGTTCCCAAATTCTCCTTCTCTTGAAGATTTTATTTTCTGGATTGTACTGATGTAGTAGTCTCCTAACCCAAAGCTCTGTGCCTATTTGCAACAAAGAATCATAGGAGCATTAAGATTAGAAAGGACCACTAAGATCATCTAGTCTAACTGTCGACCCAGCCCCACTGTGCCCACTAACCTTGTCCTCAGTTCCACATCTCCGTGTTTCTCAAACACCTCCAGGGACTGTGACTCCACCACCTCCCTGAGCAACCTGTTACAATTCATCACCGGTCTTTCTAAGAAGGAATTTTTCCTAGTATCTAACTTGAACCTTCCCAGCATAACTTTAGGCCTGTATCTCTCATTCTATCACAATTACCTGGGAGAAGAGGCTGACGCCCACCTCACCACAACCTCAAATCAGAGAAGATGTAGAGAGCAATAATGTCTCCCCTGAGCCTCCTCTTCTCTAGACTGAACAATCCTAGTTTCCACATTTGCTCCCTGTAAGACTCATTCCTGACCCTTCCAGCTTTGCTGCCTTTCTCAGGGCCCACTCCAGGTCTTCAGTGTTTTCATGTAGAGTTTTACTGTTCACATTACACCAGCACATACACTTAAAAGAGATACGTAATCAGAAAAAGGATACAGATCACAAAAAAAGTCAGAAAATACTACATAAAAACTGTGAGTTCTGTTTGGGCCAGCAAAACGCACTCTATAAAATATTACCTTCATCCTAAAAACATGTATGTACATTTCTTTAACAGATCTCATCTCTACATACATATTTTTCTCATTCCAGATAGCTACTTATTACCTGTTTTATTACCTTTAGCTTCTGTTAACATGCTTGTTACAAAGATACATCTGCAAAATTACTCTTGCATATTTGCTACTTACTAGAGTTCCCACATAACTACCCGTAACCCTAAAAGAATAACAAGTATTGATAACAACTTACATGTTTGAAAGAATAGCCTTCATCCAAAATAAGGAACTTGGTCTCAAACATACTAATGGAATGAATTTCTACGCACAAGCAGGAGCACTACACCACATGAAAAGAATCTGATTAAAATCAGGATAAAATGAGGAGACATCAGGGGGAAAAGCCAGCTTTTCTCAAAGATCAGCTTGTCCCTGCAGCAGTGCAAGTACAGTCAACGCAAATCAACAGATTCTTTAAGAAGGTCATTGCTTACAGGTGGTGCTTATCTTCCCTTTTGCCTTCAGCAGTGGCTAACTCCTTGTTCTGGCTCATTCTGTACCAGCTGTTACCAATCTGAAGGCCAAGAAAAAAACATTTCTGTAGGTGCTAAGCTTTCTGTGGCCTTAGGTCCTGCGTGACTGGGTTCGTTCCCATCTGTGTGCTCTTTGATCCAAAGGCTGTGAGCATCAGCAGGGTAACGTAATTGCGCTCAGTAGATGTGAAATGATGAACCCATGTTAGTTATTACCAAAAAACTACAGACACTAAAGACAAAAACACTAAAAGCATATTTTCCTTTAAACACTGTCTGTGTTTATGAGAAATGTTAACTTACCATTTCTTTCGGGAAAATAGATTTGATAAACACGAGTGATAAAACCTTCCACCATACCGGAAAGGAAACGTGCATAAATTTCCATCCTCTGTAAACACTGCAATACAAGAATAAAAACTTCACCATGCAGCTGAACACCAGCCCAGAGGTGTGTACATATACGTATTACGTTGCTATTATATTAAATTGTAAGTCATCACAGAATCATGAAATGGCTTAGGTTGGAAGCATCTTCAAGGATCACCAAGTTCCAACTCCCCGGCTACAGATGGATAACTTCAAATTTTTCAGCTATACTTTGGTTTTTCTGTATCTTTACAACTTTATTATTTAAGAAAAAGTCTAAAATCTCATATAATTACTAAATCAACAGAGAGTGATGGGCTCTGTGGTAAATAGAGACTTTCAAGTATAAAATACATTGCAATTTCCGGTACAGCAAATGGCAATTACATTCATTAATTGCAATTATCATTTCTAATTGTGTAGTATTGTAACAGCAGATTAAATTGATTTCTGATGTAGTATCCTTCCAGGCTACCTATCACTTTGTAACATCTGTTTAAAACAATTAAGGCACAAGGCAGTACAAGTTGAAATAGAAACAGCCAGGGGAAAGAGGATTTTAAAGGTTAGGAGATGACAGAGAATTTTGATCTTACCACCTTTCCCTCGGGATAAGTGGATAGAAATTGATGGGACAGGTATCTGAGAAGGGCAAGTGTTCTATTTGCCAAGTCAGTGATAACTGTAGTATAAGAAAGGGTAGTGGTAGTCTAGCAGAAAAAAATCCTTCAAGATGAATGTTGAGAATGAAAGAGACTGGAGACAGAAAAGACAATGAAAAACTGTCGGAGCCTATTTAACCATTAACTAAAATAAATCTGTTCTGAGAACCAGGAGGATAAATGGGAAACCAGCTGCTGGGATAGGTGAGGAACAGGGCATAGAGCCATGGTCAAATACTGCCTATTTCCAACATTTTGATGATGACATTACCCTCCTCATCCTGAGCCTACCCCTGCAGTCACAGCTGAGGCTCCTGCACAGCACTGTGATATCTGTTAACCCTGGCAAGCCCTGACACATCATCTCAAATCACTGCTGAGGCCAGTTATTAACACCATGAAAAACAACCCATCCCTGTTGTCCAAACTTTCCTAGCCAGCTACAATTATGGTCACTTTATTGGCCTTGGCTGTCCCTGTGTCTGCCAGTGCAAAACAATTACCCCAGTTTCTTCTTGAAGCCTAGTATTCATTGTCTGAGCTAACTGGGTGAATGTTCAGCTATTTACCTTCACTGTTTGATGGCTTCCTTTAGAAGTAGCTAGAACGTTGTGAAAATAATTCCACTGAGAAGACATATTTAATCCCAACGGTCATTAAAAACTGTTCTAAGCTACAAAGGCGCAAGTAACAGCCCAATTCATACAAACCACAACAGCAAAAGCACAGGGCAATAAAGGCTTTAAAACTGGAAGTCTGCAATGTCTGCACACAGCCAGGATGTCTGAAACTTCAGGTTTCAAAACAAATGCTACACAGCAAATTGTATGGAACTCAAATCCTCCTCAACAGAGATCAAGGGCAGTTGCAGGAATTGAACCCGTACATTCAAAGAGCTGCTTATGTACTTTAAAGCATAGGGCAGACACAGCTCTGATGAAAATAAAGGGAGTTGCACATCACAGCCCCACCATTTCAGGAGACAGGATAAGCCACACAAGCTCAGAAAAATGAAAATCTCATCAGCATTTTCGCATTAATCCCCACCTGAAGGAAAATTACCTGGGATGTCTGAGCTAATCCCAAATTCACATCTACACAGAAATTAATAGTCATAACCATTCCATAATCCTTATGCATGTTGAAACAAAGACAGGCTTACTGCTGGCTTGCACAGTGTGGATGCAGATAGGCAGATAATTCTTACTGTCATGAGAACTATTGGATTTGACTCTGTACCTTGTAGGTGAGTGAAGCCATGTTTTGGGTCTCCTCTTGGCCCAGATTTGTGGTGCTACGAAGAGAAAAGAAAGAATGTGGAATGAAGAAAGAAATTCACTCCGGGAAATCCTGTAGAGAAAAATGTGCCCTCAAACTGTATTTCTCTCAGTTCTTCCACACAGATCTCATTATTTGCATCTGATTTCAGCTGGGGCACAATCTGATGAATGGGAGTAAATAAACACTGGATAGCAGAAGCTCTCTTTTAAACCAGGAGAATCTAGCACAATACCATAAAGGCTGAGGCTCTGCTCCATTATATCTTGCTACTGTCAAGAGACACATCTCCTATCTTCCTCTGTGAAATGAATGTATGCATTCTGGGGCCAGCTCACAGTTACAAATAATATCCTACAATTTGACTTTTTCTGCCATTTAGCTGTATCCCTCAGGGCATTAGCTAAGAAAGCAACCTCAACTTTATTCGGGTTTACCAATCAGCAAGCAAAAAGCATCATTGCTCGTTAGAGCTAATCTAAAACCACAGGAAATAATAAAAAATGGGGAATACACATAAAGGGCTGCTGCCACCAAAGGTGCTGACAGCTGATCTATAGCAAAATAAAAATATCACAAAACAGTCAAGGAAGCAGCACATCATGAACATGGATGTGGATACAGAATGCAGTAAGCAAGGGATAAGGCAAAGCTGTTGCTAAGATATACTGAGAGAGCTTGATCATTTCTGTGGAAGAAACAATTTTTGCACTCAAACTCCGCACTACTTCTGTTTGCATTAGGCAGTCTGCAATGCCAAGGCTGAGCTCTGTCATAGACATTGTGAATATCCCCTTCTGCCCCAACATAGAATGTTTAAGAAGATACTTCTGCAGTTTGCTCGAATAGTTGGGATCACAGCATCATCTGAGTACATCTGGGCTAGTTTTAATGTAGCTGATGAAATAAAAATAACTATAAAGATACACAAGTGTGGGCCTGGGCTATCAGCTATGCAGAAGGGATGAGCTATCCTATAAACACTGCTTAGTCAGCACTGCTGTGGGCCTTGATCTAGCAAACCCCTCTGCGTTTGAAGCACTCCTTCTTTCCACCTGCTTGGTGTCATCACTCATCCAGCCCCGGGCAGCACTGCCCTGCCAGGCAGCACGTCGCTGATCTGCCACTCTGAGGCAGAGCAATCAGACTTACCTTCTTCATACAGTCACCGCTCAGAGCCAGAGCCAAGACGAGAGTGAAAGGAGCACAAGCTTTCATCTTCACTCCCCTCTCACTGAGGTTTTGCCTGGCGGAAGGAAACTTCCAGGGCTGGGCTGAAGCAGGAGGGTGAATAAGCAAAGAGTTTTCTCAAAGGACTGCAATTTGTTTGACTGTAGGGTATTCTAGTTCTCTAAGTAAGCAGAGCTCTTATCGTTGTTAATCATTAATGCCTTTGTGGGTAGATGGGAATGCCATGTAGCAAGATACACTGCCTAAACTGCATGGAGTTAAGAGTTCATCATGTGTCTGACCCTGGCTGCTGGTTGTCAGTGTCCTTTCTTCTTGTGTGGAACTCAGCAGATGGTAAGGGCTCCTCCAGAGCAGCTGATCCAATGGTGCTTGTAATCAGGAGCTGTCTAGCACCCAGACACTTTCCGTCTCTTTCCCCTCACGAGGATGGAATAATAATAACAAGGAGCTCCCAACAAGACCTCTCAGAAAGCAACATTGTGTTGCAAAACATGGAACAGATCAATGCCAATATCAGGCATAGGAATTACTCATTAACGGATGGTTACCTGTCCAACCATGACTTACAACAACAGTCTTTTAGCAACAGATTGCAAGAATTAAAAAGAGGGAACACACACCAATGACAAAACACTTGCTGTACCGAAGACATCCCTTCTGCAGCTGCCTGAACAAGCCCATCTTAGTCTGTAAGTGAATGTAAGTAACTTGGCCGTGATAACTGCACAGGAGAACTAATGGAGATGCAGAAAGAATTGCTAAAACTGAAATTTCACCAGCAGAGTCTGTTTCAGCCCCACCTTGCCCCACAACCAAAATCCACAGGTTTGGCTGGTAGAACTGTGCTTGTGCTTGAGGCTCAAGCCAGCCATCACTGTCAGTCAGGGACCACACCTCTTCACACCCAAAATGCACAGAGCAGCAGCAGCAGACAGAATCCCATAGTCCTTGCTTAAGTTTTGTTCTACACTTTGAAGTTTCAAAGCTATGGGGGGAGTGGGAGTTTATGTTTTAACCTAGAAAGATTGGTGGTAAGGCCCTGGGCCTGAGTGGAGCTTCCCATCACCATTTTGCCAAGATGGTTTATAGTGCTAGAGGGAATTTCCACTGGATGTGCTATTACACTGCTATGTCTGTCATCAAAGTAAAAGCTCCTGTTAGTACAATTATGAGATGCAGATTTATGGACAAAACTTTCCTACTGACAGTAAGACTTCAAAGAGCAAAAACCAGGTGGATTTGGAATTGTCTCCCCACGCTCAAGCAAAGAACAAACAAGCGGAAAAAAATTGCCTTTATGCATTGTTTGTTGGCTGACGATTTGAAACAAATAAAGCTTTGGCATAGATTAATGGCATAGATGTGTCGTATTGTTCATCAGTTTACAAATAGGAAATAAGAGGTGCAGACAGACTGGGCTCCCTGGGGACACCTGGCAAAGCTAAAACATAAGTTTCTACTTCCTGCCCTCATGATTGATGTAGGTCATCACGCTTTAATCTAGCAACTCCTATACAATGCCTTGTAGACACAGCTTAGAATCTAGGCTCCTGAAATTGTGCAAAGAAAGAAATTTTTTAGAAAAGCCATTGGCTGCTGTTCCATCCAGTGTTGCCAAAAGCTCTGCAGAGGAGCAGGAACTGGACAGCTAGGGAGGAGGAAAATACTTCTTTAAATGCTGTTCAGATGCTTCCTTCCACATATTTCTAGAATAAAATCCTCCTCACCATCCACTTCTGGGACCAGAAGCACTGCATTTCACTGATGACCAAGGCAGCTTGTAGGAAAGCCTTTATATGTCCCTAAACTGAAGAAAGTGGAAAAGAAAGGATGTGTTCCCTGAACGTATGTCTGCTCCTGGCTGCCCTGTATAGGCATCAAAATACAAGCAATAGTCATGGAGTGTCTTTCTGGAAAGTCTCAATTCTAACATTTTGGCTGAAACTAATTCTGTAACTTAAGGAAAAGGAGGAAGCAATATCAGGAGCTACTTCAATTGCTAGGGCATAGCTGGCACAAAGCAAAAGGAGAAGACATTAAAGGAAGCGATTGTAACAGGAGTTGCCAGAGAAGCATCCCTATGTAATGGGAATCACCCCTGAGTAAGATATGTATAGCAACCCAACAGTGACTCCAGGGTTCAGACAGATATGAATCACCCAAAACTCTAGCTACTACATGAACTACCTGCATTGGTTCAGCAGAGAGGTATCTGAGCAGGTCTTACAGTGATAGGAAAAGGTAAGATTTGAGAATTTTTTAAAATCATGTTAAATGATTAGTCATCTTTGGGTTGTTTTCATAACCAGAAAGAAAGTCTGCCTGCCTCTGTGAGGCTTTTACTGGAATCTGAGAATCTACTCAGAAAAGTGGAGGTTTGGTTTTGGTACTGAATTCTCAGAAACCGCAGAGGGCATTGGGCACTTGGGACTTCATGGGCATAAGGAATGAGGGAGGCTGCTGATATTTGCATCGTACCCTGTGAAGCTCTTGGTCACAGCACAAGAAACATGCGTGATGGACAGTTTGGGAACAGACTTGGGAAAAGAGCTTAGGGCTCTCCAGTAAGCACAGCCTATTTTAGTCACTCACTAACATCAGTGCTGCAACTGTGGGTGCTCAGACATTTACAGGAATCAGTGTGTGTGACCTTGGGACTCAACTAACCAAAGATGGAGGCAGAGTACTGCATGACGACACATGGGTCGGGCAGATGAGCCCATGCAGCTGCTCTCCTTTGCCTTCTCAAGTCACTTCATCTGTGACTCATTATTTCCAGCATAGTGCTGGAAACTGTCTGTAAAGGGAGAAAACAGTCGTATGTGGATAGAACAAATACCACAAGATCAACAAGTGAAGAGATGAAGATGTGGGAACAATCCTTATCACACTCAGGATGGAGTCCCTAACCTTAAATTTCAGACTGTGATTGATTTCAAGTGCTTGTTTTGAGTGAGGCTCCATAAAACACTGAAGGCATATATATATATATATATATATATATACACTCACATATATATACACACATATATATACATACATACATACATAAATATATAAGAAATCTGAAAACAGGAAATTGTGGAAAGACCTGGTGTTGGGGTGCCATTGGCCAGCTCTAAAGTCCAAACCCTGTATTGCAGCCTATCCCACCAGCAAAACTGCAACTAGAGCCTGGCTCTTGTTTTACAAGAAAATCCCATTTTCCTTTTAAAGAATCATAGAATCACCAAGGTTGGAAAAGACCTAAAAGATCATCCAGTCCAACCATTCACCTATTCCCAATAGCTCCCACTAAACCATGTCCCTCAACACAACATCCAGCCTTTCCTTGAACACCCCCAGGCTCGGTGACTCCACCACCTCCCTGGGCAGTCTCGATTCTTAATTTTTTTGCACATAATATTGAACATTTCCTGTGAAGTACACATAATCTAAATGCATTCCGAGCCAGCTTCAGCTACCGCTGAAGTCAATTGAAGGTTTCAAAGTAGCACTAGGAAGTCTTTATTATGTTTGCAGGCTGTAATCCTAGTGTATTAACGGCAAAAAGCCCTCTGTTTCAGCAGTTATTTTCCTTTTATAATAACATCATCATGGGAAAATGAAAAAGCAAATAAACACACAATAAATGAACAGAAAGAAACAGAAATATTTGCTGCAGGGGGTATATCACATACTGATTGTGCTGCCTCATATGTTTGCCTTTTCCTCACTTCCCACATTGCAATGGTTTTATCTTTCCAAATTTAACAATTATTAAAAACCCAAACTGAGCCCAGACTCTGAACTATTGATTAGCAATGAAGTCATATTAACAGCAATCCTTAATCATTCGATATAAACAAAAAATAACAAAAAATAAATCGTCAACCTCCAACATTAAACAATAAAATTGCAACTTTCCTTATCAAGGCACATACTAGACATAAATGGAGAAAACAAGTTTAGACACATGCATATGCATTCCTACCTGTGTATCACCTTTTGAGCAGGCTGGGGGAGGAATGTCCCATGACTGAACGTTTGGCAGTGTTTTCCAAGCTTCATTTCTTGATCAATGTTCACATTTCTGAGAAATCTACCGCCCTGTTACCACAAAACAAGAAAAAATATACTCTCTTCTAACAAATGATCCCCCCATGTACTTTTGCAAACCTTTATGCTTTTTCAGATCATGTTTTCTTCTCACAAAGGCAGTTTACTCTTCCCTTTGGAAGGCAATACATAGCAGCCAACTAACGGCAGTGTTGCCTCCTGAAATAATCTGATTTCTGATTAATTGGTGTTAACACTAAAAAGCCCCAGCCTACTGCCCTGGCTAACTAACTGGCAAACTAAGTGCCAGATATGGACATTGGCCCATGGACAAATGCCATCACCTTGCTGCAAACCTTGCTGTGGGAAAGGATTGCCTTCATCTCTGTGGCTTGAGATCATTCCCATCATCTGTTCTTGAGAGCATTTACCAAAATTTGGCTTCCCTCTTGGTGAATATCCCAATCACCAAAACAGAGGCTAATACTCCTGGGATCCAAGGCTGTTGTTTGTTTTTTTTTTTTAAGACTTAAGGCAAGACAGGAACCCTGGTGAGAGAATGTGGCTTAATAGCTGCCTTGAGACATGGAGTGACCTCAGCCTGATTTCTTACATCCCAAACCAGGGTCTTCACCACTGGGTAAGACGTGAGCCTCCATATCTTCCTCTCTTCTCTGGAGCAGTGCCTGGAGATAAGCCACCGTGCTCCTTTGCTGAAGATGTGGAATGGAAGAAAGCTGAAACTGTTTTGCTTGCTTGCTTATTTCTGCAAGGAAAAATAAAAGCCTGGGTTCAAATCAAGATGAACAGTGCCCCAGACTGATGAGTTATTTATATGGACCCTTTCCCCTAGAGCTTCAGAAATCTGAGGGCAAAAATCTACATGGTTTTGGCTTCCACAAGAACTGCAGCCCTGTTTCACCCTCAGCTGCACCAGACTTTGCTGGTAATATTTGTGGCCATGTAAAAACCTTAGCCACAGTGAAGCACAAACCATCCACCACTCTGCCAGAGCAGCTAGACTAGTAAAAGGACATCTGCAGAGATCTGGTTTCTGGGCAGCTGGGCTGCAGTAAACATGGATTTGGAACTATTGTGCTGTAGCAGCTACTGCTGT